AGAACATAAAACACACCTATTGGAAGTGAAAACATGATTTACACATGAGAACATGCACTAGATCCAGGAAAAGGAACACAGTACCAGTCTAGCCCCGTGCATTTGTCTGAACCATAAAAATTAGCAAGACACAAAGCAAACACTCCAAGAGATAGAAATCATTATGGAAAAGAGAACTTGTAGGAAAGATGTAGAAATCCTAACACAGGAATAACAGGAATTCCAAGTAAAAAAAAGCAAAAGATGCACAAGAAAGCTAATGAAAGCTAACAACTATAGTTTGAAAGTGCACAAAAATGACTAGAGAGAAAATACTGCAAAGACTTATATAGACATATCCTGGTAAAATTCTTGAATTCTAAGATAAACAGAAAACCCTACGAAATCCTAGGCAAAAGGAAAGAGGTGGTTACAACACTCAGACTTCAGCCACACTTCAAGTTGGTGGAATAGCATCCAATAGAGAAAAAAACTTAAACCTAGGGACCCAATACCCCAGATAAAATTCATAGTCCAAACCAAAAAATATGTAGGCTATGCTCCACCTAGACAAAATGCTTGGCAAATATATAATGGAAGCAAAGGTGTTAGAGGATGAAGTTCAGTGTAGCAGAAGGAGAAGGAGAAGGATTTTTAGAAATAAGAAGTGATGTTTTACCAGAAAGTCAAAACTGCAGATAGACTACTATGTGAAACTCCTTGACATAAATTTGAAGACTTCAGAGATATAGATTTCTTTTTAGTAGACTACAGAAGGTCAAATCTGGCATAAGAAGAGGTAGAAAACATGATTAGCAAACATTAAAAACATAATTAAGGATCCAATGTGTTAAAAGCACAGGCAAATCAGAAAGCTCCTCAGCTGAACTTCATTCAATCTTTAAAGAAGAGAAAACTATTTTTAAACTACTCAAGATGTAGAAAAAGATAAGAAGTCCTTGAATTTATTTTATAAACTCAATTCATTTTATGACCGCAGCATAACTTTAACACTCAAACTTGGCCCTAAATAGCAAAAATTTTAAAAATAGAAGGAAATGTTAGTCAATTTTAGTTATGAACATAGAGGTTGCCGATGTGAGGGTGAGGAAGGGAAGGCTAAGGAAATTGGAGAAGAGCAAATCCTGAGAATAGGGACACCTTCCCTCTGCTCTTTATTGATCAGAACTAGATTTGATGGTTCTGTGTGACAGGAGAGCCAAAATAACAGTGTCTTAAACATGGTAGAATTTTAATTTTTCCTTTCATTACAGGAGGCAAGAGCAAGGTTGCCTGAGGTTCGTATGCTGAGTCTTTTAAGTCCTCAGGTGCTCAGGCTTGTTCCAGAGCTGATTTGTTGCCTCAAGAGACCTCATTCCCAGAATGCAATGTGGCCACTGAAGCTCCTACACTCACACCTGTGTTTAGCAGCAGTATGGAGAAAGGGGTACAGCAGGAGGGTACCAAAGGTACATTCCAACTATAGTTTAATGTGATTTTTCTTGAAACTGCCAGGAAGCACTGCTGTTTATAGCTGACTGGTGAGAGTTTAGTTTATTTGCACATCTACTCTCAAAGGATGATGGGAAATGCAGTTATTATCCTCTTGGCCAGGTGCCCAGTTATAGATCAGAGGATTAATGAGATAGGGAGAGAGAGAGAGACAGAGACAGAGACACAGAGAGAGACAGAGAACAGGTACTGTGATGGAAAACTAGCTACCCCTGTTCTGTGTTCCATTGGTAGAGGGCAATGTGTCTTCATGTGGTTGTCAAAAAGACATTTCAAGCCTAGTATTTTCTTTCTTTCTTTTTTTTTTTTTTTTTGGTGTTTTGGTTTTTCTCCGGTACTGGGAACCGAACTCATGACCTTGCGCTTGCCAGGCAGGCGCTTTTGCCACTGAGCTAAATCCCCAGCCCCAAGCCTAGTACTAGTATTTTCAAAAGCTTTTGCTGGCACCCTCCGCAAACCTGTTCCTTCCCATTTTACTTCTCAAGAAGTGGTATCATTGCCTGCCCAAGTTCTCAAAACAAACAACCTTGAAGTCACTTTCTTTTCTACCTTTGCCTTCACTATTTCTCCAATCTCTTACTTTCAGTGCAGTAGCTCTGTCTCCAAAATATAACACAAACTGCCTTCTGCCTTCTGTCTCTTCTACTCCTTCCAGCCCTTGTCTCAGCAGCACACACACTCACGCGTCGCCAGTACCTCCCACCTGTCCTCCCACTTCCCACCTCGCCATTGGTTATTATTTTCTGTATTGTGAACAGAAATATCTTTTCAAAGCCATTTTCTCATTTGACATTTTTCAACTTAAAACTAATTTTAGTTCATTAGAAAGAAGCAAAGCAGTGCAGATGTGTGTAAAGACAAATTTAGTTATTTCCCCACTGACCCACAATCCCCTGAGGAAATCTATTAATGAGCAGGTTTATCTTATCTTTTTCTCTATCAATCTCCTTGTATACATGCATTTATACAAATAAATACAGATTATCAGATAAATTGATTTTGTTTTCTGAAAAACAGTAAGATACTCATTAATCTGTGAGCTTTTATTTATATTTTAAGTATCAATTATATCATATCAGATTGCTGCTTAAAAACACACCAAAAGCTGTCCACTATATTTACAATGTTTTTTTCCAAAGGATTGTAGAGCATTGATTTAATTTGGCAAGTAAGGCAAATGTAGGGATAGGAGATTTTCTACAATATTTTATATATTATATTGAATTGAATTGAATATATTGAATTGTATATCTATATCTATATCTATATGTAGATATATATAACATACATTCACTTTTCTATTTAAAAAACATTCATCAAGTACTTATTCTGAGCCACACCGTACTATATGCTTTGTCTTTATGAATGCATTCCGTCCCTTGGTAATCCTCTGAGGACTTCACCATCATTCACTCTGTTTTGTGGATGAGGAAACAAGTTGGCAAGGGAGCAGGACTTGCACAGTTCAGTAGAACTCTCTGACCAGTAACCAGGCTCTCTGAAGGCAGCATCTCACTGCGTACATGCCTCATCTCCTGGGCCAGACTGGAAGTTCTTCCCCGGAGGAGGCCGATTCCTTTTGCATACCCCATCGTGCAATCATGGTCCTCTGAACACATTGAAAGACTCTGTTTGTGGAAAATGAATTGGCTGGGAGCCACTAGGTCTTTGCTTGTTTTACGGTAAGGAGGACTTGGATATGTCTCAAGTAATCAAACAAAGGCCAGTGTAGTTACTGGAGATGCTACAGAGGGAGGAATTATCATGATTTCAAGGTTAACTAATCAATAACTTCATTGACTGTCTTTTCCTGCTGAGTATATATAGAGACCCAATAGGCCACAGCCCATAGGAAAGATTGACTGTAGAGAAAGATGGATAGTTTCCCCTTTGAGAGCACAGGGGCAAATAGACACCACACAGACATGAAGCAGGTGTGTAAATGTATGCATGAAATTGACAGGAGTCTCAGCAGCCGTGCCCCTCCCAGGCTGACAAACATGAGCCCTATTTCATTTGGTTCTGAGCAAGATTTTCCTCAATTATGGCTCAAAGTTTACCATCCTGATAGTGATATTGTGTGTGCTCTTTTACGTGTCATAATATGGAAGCCTTCTAAATTTTACCACCATGAGCTTTTACAAGTAATGTTTGCTATAGTATCCCACTCCTTTAATTTGTTATGTCTCAAAAACAAAAGCTGCCAGCATCAGCAAAACCATCAGATACTCATGCTCAGTATTTAGCAGTAAAATTTAAATGTCTGTAAGTACAATAAAATATAAAAATTCAGTACTCAGGCCATGCTTGAATGTGTGTTGCCCAAAGAAGTAACTACCATTTTAAAAAGTGCTGTAATAATCTGTCTTTATTTTTCCGAGTAAGTGGGCATAACATGAACAGCATCACCCTTCCGAATGTAGCTCTCCATCCCCACACAATCTTCTGGAGCAACAATTAAGGGATGCGGAAAAGTGTGTAGGGTCCTGGTGTCATGAAGAAACCTGAATCTCCTTCTGTTCACTCCTAACTGGGACAGGGAAAGCTTAATACAAGAATGGGAGGTCTTACGTGGTCTATCCTCAAAAAAAATACTGGGGCCAATGATTTGGGCTCAGGAAAGGAACATGGACTGAAGTTCCTCCTCCCTCTTTCACTGCCCCATTCTCAATATATGCCTAAATCTTAAACCCAATGTCTTGAGTTTGATTTTTTATGTCCTTGTATGGCACTGATTTCCTCTTTGACATTTATGTCCCACTTTGGACATTATGTAAGAAGTACTCTAACAACAAAGCGATAAAGGGAGTTTAGGTTTTCAGAGCAAGTTTTAAGTGTTCCATACACTATTACAGTAACTTCTGATACTTAGGAATTATTGTGTTATCAAGTTTTGACTACAGAAATACAGGTTGAAATTGGCCAGAAGCATCATTACACTTGATTTACACTTCAAAAGGGGCCCAAACATTTTAAAAGAAAACGTAAGAAAAAGCTCTTATTTTCAACAGATAAAATTAAGCCTCTTATCGTATGTATTTGCCCAGTTGGTATAGTTCCAAACTAGAGACTAAGAAAATGAATGGCTGAATTACAAACGAGGAATCAGTGAGTTAGGAGTCTGCCAAATCTCCTAACAAGCTGGCAGTAAATAGGCGTAGGTCAATTACATTCATATCACTTTTCTGAAAGCACAACTCTTATGAAGCTATTGTATTTAACAACTTTCCTATGTGTATATGTGCGCTCATGATTTCCTTCGTGCCTACGCTAAAGATCACCCCAGAATTCTCTCCAGTATTTTGTCTTGTCTTTTTTCCTTCATCCCTGTTGACTTTGGGTGAAAGTGGTCTACTTTAATAAATTAGTCACTATTCATATTTTTAAAAAGGACAGGAAGCTGAAGAGTGCCTGCCTCATTATCAGGATTTAGAGGAAATAATTAAAGCAATATTTTCTGGACTGTCAGACTTCATTTTTGTAATTTAGTAAAAACAACAACTGGAAACTCCACCTTACATGATTTCTATTCATGTTTCGGTCTGGGAACAGAAACTGGTTTGAACAGGCCCTTGTTTCACTTGGACAATGTGGTTGTTCCGTACTGGAGTTCACTGGTAGGTCATACACTGATAAACTAGCCAATTCCCCACACTTTAAAAAAGATGACTAGACATTGAAAAAGCCCAAATTGAGAAATACTTTGTGCCAGCTTTCAGATAAGCATGACTGTCCATTAGCTCCCCTTTTGGAGAAGCTGAGCTATTGCCCAGGAAGCTTTCTGTGCAAGATCTATGGAGAAATGAGTTGAAAGCTCTGCATGGTTGAATGAACTGAAGAGTAGAATGTCCACCGTGTACGTGTCCCAGGCTCATCTGCAATGTCCAGTTTTCCACCTGAGCACACAGAAATGGGTTGGTTATAAATTATTATTTTAGTGTCAGCAAATAAAGTTTTCATGAGCCATGTTTTTTAAGTATACTAGAGTTTTGACTTAAAAAAAATCTTTGCATAGTATTTTTCTTAGGGTTTATTTTTTCAGTGAATTCTGGAAAGTTTGAAATGAATAATTTTCCTTTATATAGCCTTTTTAAAAATTTCAATTTCTTGCTGCATTTTTATGAGTGTCCTAATATCATAACTTAATCATAATTCAATGATTTTCATTTATAATATTAAGTTGTACCTGCAGAAACAAATTCAGTTCACCTTTTAAATGACATCAGGGGTTAAAAAATTAACACTCTGAATAGTAAGCATGTATATTTTCAATATATGTAATAATTAGTATGTGTTTAACAGATTACACTTTATAATGCCTCTTTGGAACACTTTAACTACCATCACCACAATTCTGCAAAGTAGCTGTTATTTTTCTTCCTACTTTACCGATGAGAATCAAGTCTTCCTACTTTACAGATGAGAATACAAACTGTGCTGGTGTAAATATGAGCATGTATATATCACTGTGGTGTACTTTTAATTCTTTTGGGGAGCTACCAAGAAGTGGAATAGCTGGGTCAAATGGAACCTCTAGTCCTAGTTTTTTGAAGAATCTCCACACTTATTTCTGCGGTGTTAGTACCAGTCTACATTCCCACCAACAGTAGAGAAGGGTTCCTTTTTCCCCATAGCCCCTCCAGCATTTGTTGTTGGTTGATTTCTTGATGATACCATTTTTTTTTTTTTCGATAGCGGGAATCAAACTCACGACCTTGCACTTGCCAGGCAGGTGCTGTGCCGCTGAGCTAAATCCGCAGCCCCTGATGATACCATTCTTTCTGGATGTGAGATGGAATCTCAGTGTTGTTTTAATTTGCATCTCTCAAATGACCAGTGTTGTTAAACATTTTTTCATATATTTATTTGCTATTTCTACATCATCTGAGAGTTGTCTATGCATTTCAGAGGCCCATTTTTGTTGTTGTTATTGTTTTTTTATTTTAAAGAGAATAAAAAATTTCAAAAACCATTAAAAATGATACAGAATTTCAAAACAAGATGATAGGAAATCACTAATGCTTGTTATGTTGCATATTGTTATCTTCAAAGTAGCTGTTAACATTACCTGATATAGGAATGCTAAATTAATAAAAAAATAAGCATTAAGAGGCCCATTTTTGATTTGGACTTTAAATTTGGGGGGCGGGTCTGATTTCTTTTGAGTCCTTTACATGTTCTGGATAGTAGTCCTTTTTCTGAGGAACAGCTGGCAAAAGTTTTTCCCACACTGTGGGTTGTCTCTTCACTCTGTTGATGGTTTCTCTTGCTATGCAAAAGCCTATCAACTGAAGAATGGATAAAGAAGATTTTAAAAATACAATGGAATACTTCTCTGCCATAGAGGATAAGTTTGAGACATTTCTAGCTAAACGGAGGCACCTGAGGCCATACTCCTCAGTGAAATATATTGGACACATGTGTAAATACTGCATTGTTTCCCTGGTGTGAGAAACTGAAACAATAAATAAGGACCAAAATGTGTAACAGAAACTGTGAAATAGGAAGAAAATTCTCAAATAGGAAGAAGAAGTAGGGTGGGGGGAAAGGAAGGAAGAGAAAAGAAAAAGATGATGAGAAAAGAAACAAAAAATATAGACAAAGCTTTTGTAAGTAGGAGGCGGAAGAGAGGTTGAGAGAGGGGAAAGGAGTGGGAAAAATCAAGTTATATCATGGACAGGTACAAATTCCCTACAATGAATTTGACCATTATGTATGCCTAAACTGTACCAATAAACTTAATTAAAAAATAAAACTCATGGTCCACCTTAAAAAAGAAAGAATGAAGTCACAGCAAGAATAAGTGACTTACCCATGGTCATGTGCCAGTAGCCGGTGGAACTGGAATTCACTCTATTGTTTTGTGGATTCTAAATTCATCTGCCCCAGCATTCAACAAACACTGACGAATGCAGGGTTGGCACTGTGCTGACTTTGGACTGTGAGGAACAATGGGGCACAGTCCCTGGTTGGTAAAGCTGACAGTCTAAGCGGGGAGATAAAGTCAAGTAAACAAGAAGCAGTAACACAGGGGTGGCCGTGGTTTATTAGAGAAATTACAGGGGTGATGGGACCTCCTGAGGGGCCCCTAGCCCAGGGGGACAGGAGAAGTTATAAGTGGTTAGCAGAAGCTTCCTGGAAGAGGGGTGTCTAATATGAATCCAAGGAAATAAGCAGAATTTGTGATGGGAAACGAGGAACAAGTTTCTAGGGTGTAGGGACCGCCAGTGCAATGGCAAAGATAAGCCATGGTCTGCCATAGGAAGAGAAACGTTAAACAGGCCAAATCACTATCACATATTTAATCACTGACTGAGGGTGAGAGTTTGGGAAAACCTGAGCAGGCCACACCTGGGGATCATGTTGAGGCTCTTGTAGATTTTCGTGTTGGAGACGGGGACACGTTGAGTACTACAAGTAGGAAAGCCAACGTATGCAGCTATTCAGGCCACATAAAAAATATCACAGGCTCAATGGCTTAAAGAGCAGAAATTCATTTCGCATTGTTCTGGAGGCTAGAAGTCTGAGATCAGAAGGCCAGCAGAGTGAGTGTCTTGAGAGGTCTCTCTTCCTGGCTTGTTAGAAAGCAGCTACCTTCTTGCTATGTCTGCACATGACATTCTCTCCCTGCCACCATACACTTCTACATAGAGCGAGGGGAGAGGATATCAGCTAAGGACATGATCCTTATCTGAGGGACAATCCTTATGACCTCAATTAACCTTGATTCCCACCTTGAAGTCTATATTCCAAATATAGTCACATTAGGGCTTCAGGACATGAATTTTGCATATGTATACAGCATGTGAATTTTGGGGGATAAGCTACCTTTAAAAGTCCACTCTAGCAGGAGCATGAGGAATGGATGGGAGAGAGAGATGGCATAAGTAAAGACAGGAGATTAAAAGAGGTGATGTATGATAGTGACCTGAACTGATACTGTTGAAGAGATATGTGACAATTCCATTTGGCGAGTAAACTCCATGTCTGCCTGATCATTATCTAAGATTAGCAATCTGGCCAAATTAAAGCAACCCTGTAACAGCCGTGGGTCCCCCAGTTATGCCAATACTGCCCAGCTGGGAAGCCAGTTAACTGGAACCTTTGAATTGGCTTATATTTACTTCACTTTCTCCAGATAGACACAAACTTCCTTTTTGATGGTATTCTTCACTTAGTAAAAAAAATATGCTGCTGATATGTAGGAGGTAGCATAGCCCCTCTGACTAGTTTTATTTGATTCCGTTGTAGCTATCCGAGGCTTAGACAGTAATTGATTCGTGTCATGCTCCATGTCTTGGATTCTCATCTAATCAAAACATTGCCAAAACATTGTTTCCTAAATGTGAAATTATTCAGTGAGTAAATCACAAGGTGAAGCTTTCAGGCAAGACATGTTTAGGAAATGAAATTTAAGTAGGAGAAATTACAAAAGGGATGGAGCAAAAAATTGCTATTCAGAAAAGAATCCCTTATCACCTGATACCTGACCTTGTAGTGATAATGTGGCCAATAGGAGGGAAATGAAAATTGAGGAAGTCTTCTGAGTTAAGCAGGATATCATCTCTTGCTATTTACAGAGGGTAAAAATCTAACCTCCTTAGTATGGTATGAAAGATCTTTCCCTCCCTGTCCGTTCAGTCTCCTGCTCTCCCCACATGAATTTCCACTCTTTTAAATAACCTCTTTATTTTCCTATGAGTCAATTTTCTGTTTGCTGTACAAATTTTTGCTTAAGCATGACTTCCACTTTTTAAAACTTTTTATTTTATGTTATTAGTACATGCTTGTAGTACATGCATTTACAATCGTCTTGGGGAGTAGTGGGTACATGTACACTCTACAGTTTGTTTCTTTTCTTAAGCCCTGTCCTTCCATTCCCCTGCTTCTCTTCTAATTCTCCTATCCCAATTTTCATTCTTATTTGTATTTTTAACCTTAGCTCATGTTACAGCATACAATGTTTAGTTATATTCACTGAGGCTGTTGGGTTCCTATACATGGCTCCTTTTCGACAGCTTTCTGGCTCCTCTATATCCTTACCCACTAAATTCTCATTTCCTCCCCCTACATGTCTGTTGTGCCTTGTTGTGCTTCTGTTAGAGCAGTGGCCCAAGATGGATGTTGTCTTAGTCCATTTTGTGTTGCTATAACAAAATAAGCAAGGCTGTGTACTTGATAAGGGAAAAGGTTCATTTAACTCAAGTTCTAGAGGTTCAAGAACATGGAACCTGCATCTGCTCTGCTCTGCTCTGCTGAGGCCATCATGGCAGATGGTGTCACTATTCCGGGAGAACATGTAGAAGACATAACATGGCGAGACAGGAAGCAAGAGAGATTCAAAACAGGTGCTAGCTTTGTTTCTAACAATCCACTGTCATAGGGCTCCCCTCCAGAACAATGTGTCCTCTCATGGCCTGTTTACTGCCATATTTTCTCATTCTTGTGTTTTTTGTTGATGATTTCACTGTCTAACATGGCCCACAAATATAATGGAGTGCTTTTCAGTGAAAGCCTTCATTATACCTTAAGGAGAAAACACATCTGTTAAGTAAGCTTCATCCAAGCATGACTTATAGTACTATTGACTATGAGTTCAATGTGTGCATCTTTAAACGGAACATCCTAAAATGAAGTTTTATATTGATTGGCTGATTAAAAAACTGTTGTGACCAGAGGCTCATAGGAATCTAATGCTATACAATATTTCCCTTCAGAACAATTTGGTTCAGTATTAGATAATTCAGTATTAAGAGTAGCTTTACAAAACATAACTCTCCTTAATAACAAGAATTGACTGTATTTGGTTACTTGTATGCCTGTGGAATTCTTTGAGAAATGGTATCATCATTTGTATATGCCTGTCATTTGTATAATTATTAATATTGATGATTATACCAAACAATATTTTATTTTATTTTTCCAAAAGGTATTTTAGTTACTAAGTTGGTTATTATGGCTTCTTCCTTATACCAAGTTAACCAAGAATGCTTATTCAGAGACCTCACGATTTTAAGTCACTTTTTAATACTATCTTGAGCATTAGATCCTAAGGAATTGTTAATAGTTTTAAACATCTATTTATTTTAAAAGATTATGGGATTACTTGGCTGAGAATTTTGGAACTCTAGGAAAAGTCAAAGCATGTAGTATAACAAAACAGAAATAAAAGGTCTGTGGTGGAATGACAACTGGTAGCCAGTATGTAACACCCAGCTGAACTGAACCAGCGTGGTGCTGGGTGTGGGAGGCCCAGCTGAGGATTCTTGCCTGCAGCATAAGAGGCAGAACTGGAGAAGAAGAGAGGCTATTAGGAGCGATAGAATCTGTTGGGAGTTGTTGATTTACCTGGAGGACCTTGTCAAGCTGACTTTCCTGATAACTTGGCTGTTCTCATCAGAAGAGGAGCTCAGGACCTCACTGTCATTGAGAATGGCTACGGTTCGCTTTAGGGGAGCTCTGGTCCTCACTTTGAACATCGCTTCCTGGCTCCAGAGGGGAAGATGGCGCATTGCTAAATCCCCTGGAGAAGCTTGTCACGTTGGCTTTCCTGGTGGGAACTTGGCTTTCCTTATCATCAGAGGAGCTTACGACCTCACTATTACTGAGGATAGCTATGGTACTTTGCGGCGGGTGGCGGGGGCGCACTCTAGTTCTTACTTTGAGTGTCACTTCCTGGCTCCAATTCACATCCCTCAATCTGCTAGTACAGATCCTTCATCCCACTGACACAGACTTTCTAGCTTCCACCACTGACCTTTGGGCCTTCCCAGCACAGATCCATGAAGCAGGCCTGTATGAGTCACTGTCATGGGCTCTGGGCCTCCAGTTGGACTTGTGGGAGGCATTTTTATGGGCCCTAGGTCTTCAGCTGGACTCATGCAGACATTGCCAGGGGATCCAGGCCTTCAGCTGGACTCTTTGGTCATTAGTGTGTGGACAGATTTCCTGTACTCTCTTTGTATATGATTCTTTGGGTGACTATTATAAATAAACTTATAAAACATGTCCTGTATTATACTGTTCCCCTTGCAAAGCCCCAAACTATAACAAACCCCTTAAAACAAAATTTGCTAAAACAGCAGCTTTCAGTGGCAACCTAGGAATTTTGATCTTTAAGAAGGATCCTAGTGGTTATGATATAGTATATTCACAAACTGTACTGTGAGAAACACTGCCATAGCAGCTGTTCCTTACCTGGGTGTCCTCTCTAGGGATTCTCAAAGTGAACTTTAGCTCAGTTCTTTTTTGCGGAATAAATTATTTTTGGCAAATGATAGACTCCATGAACTATATATCTTTTACAGTTTATGTGTATTTACAATAAACTCTGCTAGGTCTATTTTATCTTTTCTTCACTAAAGTGTAGGTGGTAATCAATTTGACTAAGAGCAAGTTCAGGTTCATTCTCATTCATGATCTCTTTTAGGTATTGCCCATTCCACTGATCCCATGAAAGCCTTCTGGGCTTCTGATTTGGGAGCTCTCTCAGTGCTAAGCTTTAAAGTACCCTCAGGACAGGCTAGGTTATACTATGGTAACAAAGTCCAAACTCTCTATGTTTAAAAGCACAAATGCTTATTTTTTTTCTAAAACTGCAAGTCCAATTTGTAGTGGCTGGGGACAATGTATAATGTACTAGATACTGTATAATGTACTAGATACTGTATAATGTACTAGATTCTGTATAATGTACTAGATACTCCAACAGAAGAACAAGCAAAATGCAATGGGTTCTCAAACAAGGGAGCAATTTAGGTCTGCCTGAGTGTTAATATTCAGACTAGTTGTCATGGTGAATGGGCTTATTCTCTTTTGGAATGGTCATTAATGTTCATCCAAGGACCCAGGCTGATGGAAGCAGTGGTTCAAGGGGGTCTGGCTACTGCTTGAATTG